GGGGATACCATGGGGGGTGGGGGGGGGGGGGTACCGACACGCGACACGAGACCATATTCCAAGCGGAACAGCGCCAAAATCAATGACCACATCGCAGGCACCAGGAACAGGAATGATCACACAAACAGGATGGGCAATTATGAGGATGATCTTGTGGCAAAATAGAACACCACTAGTACTATCCAAATCACCACCAGCAGATGCAGATTCATGAAAGGTCCCCGCACCCGCCTCGACCTCTCCCTCTATCTGGCTTACCTCGACGAACTCTGGCAACAAGTGCATGCGAGGCCCATAACTCCGACATTTCCGAGCAGCAGAAAGACACTTTGGCCATGCTGATGGAGGCGAGTGGGAATGTTGCAAAACAGAAGTGGTGCACATTCGGCTCAACCGGATAGATCCTTGTCCTGTGCTGCGGAATGTTAGTTAGTTCTGGGTTGTCGTTTCAGAGTTGTTGGTCACGGAGGAGATGCGCTGCTGCATCGAATCTGTGCTTCGAACCTCATGCATGCCCAAGATCATGGCTTGTTTTCGCTTGGCCAGTTCTCCCGTCGAACAGCCCTGCACCCAAAGAGAGCACGAGAGAGAAAGGGGAGAGAGAGAGAGAGATAGAAACAACGAATGACAATGTTAGCTAATTCTGATGTGCAGAAAAAAGCCTTGTGAGCAAATGGAGAGTGCAAGCTTCTGTTTGCATGTCGCCGAGCTTGACCTACAAGAATGTCCATGATTACTACTCACTTCTGGCCTGTGACCGGCATGCTCTCGCTACTCGTCTCGCAGGCTCGTTTGGGCGAGATCGAGCGCCTGCAAGAGGCACGAGACGCGGTACGACTGGAGCTGCTGAAGGTCAAGAAAAACGGAGGCAGCTGGGCACTGCGGAGGGTCCTTTCCACGCCAGCCTTTGAATTCGCAAAGGCTTAGAAGGCCGGAGTCTGGAGCCAGTGACAGAAATCCACCCTTCACCCAACTCTGCACGCCAAAAGTAATTAGGAATTGACTCATGAGACACTTTGTTTTGTGCGAGACCAGCTATCAACTGCTGAACTTGGTCAGGCTCAAGTGGAATCAGGGCCCGGATCTATAAAAAGCTGCCAATATCTTGAACGTCAGCGTGTGAGGCACGGATGTGGAAGCCCAGGAAGAGTGCATCACCAAATTGGAGGTGACGTGGCTTGCGGCCCCAAGCTGAAGCCCAGTAGCTGACGGCAGTCCAGTACCGGTTGCTGGGCAGCCGCCTCCCATTGACCAGGAGCAGCTTGCAGCTGCAAGGGCTGACTGCCGCCTGGACGGATCTTTGTGTTCTGTGCTGCAAGCGACCCTTGCACATGCCAGATTGCATGCATGCCGGATGCTGAGGCGAGAAGATGTCCGAAAAGGCCAACATCATATGTAGAAACGCGGGGGCGTGCGTAAACCCATCGTTTAGCAATGAACTTGAGCTCGACTTTCTGACTCATCTTTTGCGGCAGCCGAGGAGCTGGAATAGTCTGTATTGAATGTATTGGGGATCGTTGGCTTTTGAAAAGCCTTTGCACTGTTCAGGCCGCCGAGGTTGGCATGGGCAAGATCTTCAGGGCTGCCATCTTGGCCCTTCAACGGCAGGACTTTGCGATGCATAGCAGACCCGCATGTAGAACGTGCGACCTCGTTCCAGATGCAAAAAGCACACCAGCAGGATGAGGACTCCATGGTCTCCTACCTGCAGGACGAAACCGAGAAAATACGACTATTGTGGCCTCGATTGATTTCGTGTTCCTCGCAGGATCAGCTCAATCTCCTGCAGGCGACTTCTGAACAGGATGCTGCGGAGGTTGGAAGCCACGTAAGATGTCGGGAGTTTAATAGGAAGACCCAACGGAGCCTGCCAGGTAAAGCGCCTTGAGGAGGAAAGCAACGCTGCGTTGCAGAAAGCGCAGCAGGCAGCTGAGGAGGCAGGATGCTATGATGTGAGTCGTTGAGGCCGTTTACCTTGAGGCCATTTAGGCATAAACAACCTGTTCTTTGTTACCTCTTCAGGCCTGCGTTTGCCCCCACTTTCTTTGGTTGCAGGCAAAGGCGGCTGCAGAAGATGCACTGCAGGAGAAGATGGAGCATGTCCAGGCACGCTTTAAAACCCAGTCAGCTGAGATATTGTTACGAAAGGGTACGGCCGAGGTTCTAGTTTACGAAGTTGTTGTGGTTCTTGGGGTTGAGCTCTTCCAGTGGCTTCTCGAGTCGAGATAGGGCAGGACACGTACCGTATCATCTAAGGTGTTTTGCAGATTTACTTTAGACGGGAGGCGTGGAGTCAGAAGTACATCTTCCGTGCATTGTATCCCCACTAAGTCGGTGGCGATTCCGTACAGAACCCTCGTAGAATCTTTGCAATTAGGGGTTCCTACAAGCTAAACCCTCCAAAACCTTCATGGGTAGTTCCCTAAACTACGCTAGGGCCCCCTTTAGCTTTTTATAACTGTGCCACACTATATGGGGGATCTTAACAGGGACCCTAATTTAGAGAACTACCTCCATGGTGAGGCCATTGCGGCAGAGCGCGATGCGGCACAGAGCGAAGCCCGTCGTCTCACGGAGCAGATGGGCAGCTCAAAGGCCGGGTTGGGCAGTGTGGGGGACTTTATTCTTGGTATTATAAGTATTATTAGGATTAGTCGCCTTGTTATTGCTGTATAATGTGGTTATCATGATTTCTTTATAGTATCATTATCATTATTTGACTCATAGGCTGAGCTTCATGATTCTCTCATGAGGGCTCAATGCTGACCTTCAGATGTGTTCATACAGAGAAGCTCGACTTCTTCGGGGCAGAGACATGGAATCATGACTTCTTTGGAAACACAGCCTAAAGTTTACGACTGGCTTTTTGGGGTGCTCCTTAGAGTTTTAAGCTGTGCAGATGATTTCTAGACTATTTCAAGGGTGTGAGGGCTCGGGTTCCTGTGTAGGCACTCCTGCAGGGAGGCCCTGAGAACAGACTTGAGTTGTGAGTTGTGCGTGCACGGGTTGTTACGCGATGTTGGTGCAGGAAGATCTCATGGAGAAGCAGGAGGCAATTGCCGCCATCATCCGTGCCGTGTTCGCAGACAGGTACACATACGCATCGCCCCCATCCAGCAGCCAAATCAGGATCGGAAATGCAGTCTTGGGAAGACAAGCTCCAAAAAGCAGACGAGTCCGAGAGGTGTCGCGCCACAACAACTATCGCCTAAATGGCTTGTTATTCCATGTGCGCAGTTTGTAAACTTGGCAGGGTTTTGAAGAAGTCCTTCGAGGACATGGGGGTGGCGGACTTACAAGTCTCACAGCTAGGCTTGTGTGCTCACTGCGGCATTGCTTCGTGTTGCTTCGGTTCGAGCAGCCGAAGCAGGGTTTGCGGAGTGCAGCGGATCTGCGGATCTGCATTCTGGCCACTGCTTGTGTGACTGAGCGAGCCCGTCACCCTAGGTGAGCATGCAGGATATGATGGCGATGATCACGAAAGGCGGTGGCTTTGGTGGAAAAGACGGCGGCGCTGTATGCCATTTCGTCAACCTGTGTCGCCTGGATGATCCAGTTCGTTTAGACATGTAATCAGACCACGCATTAGCTGCCTTAGCTCCGGTGCATCCGGTCTTACACAATGTCGTAGCATTGTGGATCTGTAAATGCCTTGCCAGTCCCGTTGAAGCTGTGGCCAAGGTGAAGATGCACATGACGACGGCTTAATCTACCTCATTCCCGAAGGCACAACTAAGATCAAGAAGTATGAGGACGACGATGAGGACGCCGCGAGATTCACGACTTGAAACCGTGTCCCCATGCAAGATCGAACGGAAAGCAAGCTGCAGGCATTGACAGCGCTTTCGTTTTGTTCTATCTCGTTGCAGGAAGTGTGCATCAAGTTGGATGGCGACAGCATACGGCCTGTGCATGCGATCCTGGAGTCTCTGGAATCCAGTGGCCGGGTGCTGAGAGGTTAAGTTAAGCACTATACGCATCACTGCCTGTGCCCTCGACTGCAAGGAGTTACGATTAAATCTGCCGCAGAAGATGCCGTTCTTTGGGTCAGCTTGGCATGCATTTAGTTGTTTGGAGAGTATCAGGGCAGCACAGATACAAGTCGACTAGGCTGTTGTAGCGAGCCGTGTGTGCAGAATCAGTTATTGCGGGTCAATGTCACGTGTGCTGGGGTTACCCCATAGCTCGCAAAAGGTCAACGGCAACGCTGTCGAGTACGGTGGGGCCGGGGTTCCTCGGCCGGGAAACACAGACAAGGCACTGAAAAACTGGAAGCCAAAGCAGCTAACGGCGATTTAGGCTGGACTACATAGATGGCCACCAAGGTAACATTGGAGCACGGTGCACGAGTCATTTTCGGAAGTGACTTTGTATTCAGGCGGGACGCATGCCAAAGCAACTGTGCAGAATCGTGCCTGGATGGTACTGGAGTTCCGCGTGTCAGGTTTGTGGACCCTAAGGGGAAAAAAGCGAAGAAAGTAGCTGCTGCGGCAACCTCCACTGGCTTCGACGACAAGGGCATGCCGGTGGTAATTGACTGGCATTATGCTATGGCCGAGTTGTCCCGCAAGAATGGGGTGCCTGTGCTGTGTCAGTGTGCTTTGTGTGCTTTCGGAGGAGACATGCTGACTTCACAGCTCGACACAGATACAGCAGGAGTGACCCCACTCGTCGTTTCCTTCCAGAGGTGGATGCAGAAGAAGAGATCCGGAAAGCAAGAGAGAAGTTGAATGATGAGATGGCAGAGAAAGAGGCAATTTTGTTGGAGACTCCTCGGTATAGCCAAGTTTCAAGCGATCCCATGGCATCTTCACTGCTTGCAGGCCAAACTGGCCGAGGAACAGAAGATGCTCGAGGACATGTCCTTGGGCACTCATGCTTAGCCTCTGCGGTGTTGGGTGAAGGGCTAAATTTGTTTGTGAGCTTTTAGGCTTTCGGGTTAAGCGATGCCATATGCATGGCAGCTGCAGAGCAGGAGAAGATGGAGGTGGAGCGAGCAGAGACACCCGGCGGCATCATGAGTCTAGAGACCAGCTTGGACATCGCTGCTAGCAGTCTGTGAAACAAGCTGAGGTACGAAAAGCAGATCGAAGAGTTGAAAAAGGGAGCCAAAGCGTCTGACCCCGAGAAGCTGAAAGAGGACGGGCTGTTTGTCCACTTACATCAAATAGAAACACGTGGAACTCTTCCTTTTTGCTGCGAAGGAGCAGATGCAGACGCAGTTGACACTTCAAAAGTCACCATCTCAGAGGCATAGGGGAATCTTTCTTTGTGCAGTAGTCGACGTTGACAACGCAGCCACAGGCACGTGGGTGAGTCCCGAGTTCTGCAGAAAACTATCTTGCGTATTCTCCGAGATTGGCCAGAACTCAGGTTCAAAAGCAAGCTAGACATGCAGAGATCACGAGCTCAGTGGGTTCGTGCTGCCTTCACGGCTGGCAAGGCGTGACAATCCACTGTTCACTTCTTGGTAGTGCAAACTTCAATCCAACAGCGCCGATGTGCCGTCGAGGATTCCCGATTTGAGTTGGACATCCGCCTCTCACGTCAGCAAATGGCCGAGCTTCAACCTCGGTTGGTGGAGGTGGGAAGTACGACTTTGTTCTGCCGTGTACAGTAAACCGTAAAAACCGTGAAGGCAAACAGAATCGCCGCAAATCTGGGCGTGCAGTGGCAGAGCTGCACTATTGCTTTGGTCAGCTGGCTGAGCCGCAGTTGCTTCGGTCTTTGATCGGTGGCATGCCTGAGGTATGCCTTCCACTTCATCGATGCCATAGACCCCAGGCTTGCAGGATGTTTTATTTGGGGGATTTGAGAATGCGACCGAGTTCTCGTAAGCCCAGCCTCTCGTGCCCAGCTCACGCCAGACTTGATTTTGCTACATTCTGCATCTACAGCGGACATGTGCAGGGCTCGAAGACAAGACTCCAATGTGGACGAGAAGATGGTTGAGGAAGCCAAGCGGCTACTGCTTCAAGTCAAGGCACAAGTCTTGCCGGGCAACATGGGGCAGAACATTCTTGAGTGGACATCTATGATCATATATGTGTATATGCATACGTATGATCTGTATAGATGTATGTATGTATGTATGTATGTATGTATGTATGTATGTATGTATGTATGTTTCTGTGTATGTATGTATGTATGTATGTATGCATGCATGTATGTATGTATGTAGTACGTATGTATATATATATATAATATTCGCACATACACCACATACACCCCCCAGTGCGACGCTTTCTGAATAAATCAGTAAATAAAGAACGAGTGACTGAAGTGATGAACGAATGAATGAATGAGAACGAACCAATGAATGGAATGCAATACAATGAAATGAGATGGAACGGCAGGAACACGCACATCTTGAACTCGGCGAACTCCCACTCGTGAAGACGCCGCTGTGACATCGAGCGCGTAGGTCATGAAGACAAGGAGCGAGCCGACAATGAATACACAAGACATTCCAGAAGCAGTATGAAACTGCAATCTTCGCGAAACTATCGTGATTCAGGAGATGCAAGAAAGTAAGCTTGCAATGACGCTGACTGCTTTGCAGATGCTTGCAGCAACACATAGCGGCAGCGTAGAACAAAAAGGGTGGGCCTAAACCCTAGACCAAGAACCCAGAGGGGAAGGGAAGGGAACAGGAAGACAGGACTGTAACTCAGCATGCCAGGGTAAAATACCCAAAAATAGTCACGTGATATTACCGTAGCGATGGGATAATCTCACATGCACCATCCAAGCAAGAACGGCTTCGTCATAAAACGCTTGCTGGCCGCGAGGCCACCGATGTCTAGCATGAAGCGCCTCAGTAGGGCGACGAGGTCCGCCAACACTCATGCTAGGGCAAGCCGAAAGCGTATGAGCATTGTGTCCTGTATCCATTTTACAAAGCGGGCAGCTGTCACTGCCATGAGTGGCTACACCATAGGCGGCAGGACTGCAGTACGTAAGCATCAGTCAAAATGGCAAAACGATCAGCACTGCAAACCACTTGCTTGAGCGCGAGCTTGCAACATCCTTGAGAATCGTAAGCCGTGACAGGGCAGCACATGTCTTGACGCTGCGAACATGGCCATTAATTCCAGAAATTGGAATGAAATGGAATAAAATGGAATGAACTGGAATGAAGTGGAATGACATGGACTGAAATGAATGGAATGAATGAAGGAAGGAAGGAAGGAAGGAAGGAATGAAGGAATGATTGAGGGAATGAATGATCGAAAGAAAGAAAGAATGAATAATGAATGAACGACTGAATGACATGAAATGAAGTGAAAAGAAATGACATTAAATGAATGAATGAATGAATCAAGGAGCGACTGAAGGAATGAAAATAAAATGAATGGATGGATGGATGGGTGGTTGGATGGATGAATGAATGAAATGAAATTATATGAAAGGAAAGGAAAGGAATGTGAAACGAAATGAATGAATGAACTGAAAGAATGAAGTGAATGAATGTAAAGAATGAAGTAAATGAATGAAATGAACGAATGAAACGAATGAATGAAATGAAATGAACGAAAGAAAGAATGAGTGAATGAGTGAATGAATGAAATGAAAGGAAGGAGGGATGGAAGGAATAAATGCATGAATGAATATGTATATATATATATACACGCGTATTCATGTTTTTTTGTCATACACACGCATACCTCTTTATGGTATGCAGCTGCGTAGGCAGTGGAGGAGCTCCTCCGTATGTCGGTTCTTATGCACTTGTGTGCCTGTTGCTCACGGTGCATGGCCACTGCATCACTCAGCCTTTTTTGCGCGGAGGGGGGGGGGGTGTTGCCTCATTTTGGCTCGGCTTGAGAGGTCCAGAACTCCAAAGACCAGAAGCTCCAGCTCTGGTCGCTTCAGCCCTTCGACCGGTTTCAGCTTTCCCGAAGTAGCTGGGTCTACAGGAAAGGCTAGCTGGGATACCGGAAAAGCTGACTAGTTAGGTGCGAGGGCTGCTTGCAGTGGCTGTGAACATGTGGACCAGGGTGTATGTATCGGTGGTGAGAAGGTGTTCCCCGTTAGGGAGCAGCGTACGATTCCAGGCCAGCAACACTGAGAGCTTTCAGGCTTGTCGTAACTGTAGCCTCCTGCGACGGAAAGCCTGCCAACCCAGGAAGTTCCGTGACCGCTTTGTGAAGATGCTCGCGTATGCGAATAAGCAATCTGCGCAGAACACAGCTGGCGAGGAGACACTTCGTTGATCCGGCTTCATGCCACAAAAACCTAAAGCGCATGCACAGTTGACAACAAATTCCGCAAACTTCTTGGGTTCTCGAAGTTGAGGCTCAAGGCCTGTGTCCTCAAATTTCGAGGTTTGGGCCCGCAGTCGGGGTTTCCGGGCTTCGGGTATTCTGTTTTCGGGTTCTGGCGTTCTACAATCTCGTGGCACTGGCTCTGTGTCAGTAAATGGCTTTGCAGCTTTGGATGCAGAGGACTTGGCCATCTTCTGGGATGACTTCGAGAAGCTCAGTGGAAGTCAGTTTGCGGTGTTAATGCCAACCTCTTGTCCGGAAGGAATCGAGGTAAGACAGGCTTGCAGGTGGGGTGTTCACAACAAGCTGTGATCTCTGATTTTGGGGGAATTTGTGGTAGTTCCCTGCGGCCCAATTGCAGACCGAGTCAAAACTTTACACCAGGTCCTGAGAGCCACGATCGAGCAAGAGACACGCCAGCTGTCGCGGCGTTGTAGCATGCTTGGTGTCGGCGGGTGCTGAGGCACACACTTGTGGGTACCGCAGCAATTGGCGTGACACCTCTCTTGAAGATGGACATGGCAGCTCTTCTTGCATGCTGTGGCTGATGTGGGTTCATTCAACAGCCGGGGGGACCAAGTGGCTGCCATCGGCCGAGGTCAGGGAGTTGATCACGCTGCGTGACTTCTCGGGCAACGTCACAGGCCACAGAAAGCCTACAGCTCGTTGAACGTTTGTGCATCTTCGAAGACAAAAAGTGACTGCAGGTGCTGTGGAGGTCACCATGCAGATGTTCATGAGCAACAAGCCATCAATGACGCGGATCAGCACATCGGCCCGCGGGGATAACTAGAAGCCTGGACAAGCCGTGCTATCTTGCATGACATGAGCCCCTGAGCCTCTGAGCAAGGCCAATTTCCCGGATTTGAGACCGTATTTTCATGTTCTGTTCGACCCTTGAACCGTTGAAATTACCGTCAGCCGTGGCTCAGCACGGGATCGCACGGGCAGGCTGGAAACCCGCTTGAGATCTTGAAAGACAAGGAAGTCACGGGCGTTGTTCCTGGGCAGGCATTGATTTTTTTTACAAAGATCATGTGATGCAGATGACATGAAGATCTGCCCGAGGTTACATTTGGACGCCTGACACACGAAAATGTTGAAGCGAGGAATTGGTTGGGATCTTGGCTTGCGTGGCCATGCCAAGAATGCCCGTTAGCCCGAAGCCTCACAATATCATTTGCACGAGGTCCAGCTTCTTCGTCCGCTTTTCTTGGTTTGATACCGATGGCCGCATGGACAACTACTCTCCGAATCTTGCATCTTACAAGCCGCAGAAGCATGTCAGTATGGCAGCAACAAAGAAGTTTTGTGCTGCATCTTGTCAAAGCTTGGTGGTTGAGGAATGCGCTTGCAGAGGACTTGAAGCCTCTTGACTGGTTCAAGCATCATGAAGACTGGAACATGGGCACGGAAGGCACACGAACGGAACACACCGGTGGCACAAAGATATGTCTGAAGCAATGCGCTTTCTGGGATGGCACCGCCGCTCTGTGGATGCCTAGAGACAGAGCCAGCTGCAGCGGCAGAATCTTGATCCGCCCAGGTACACCTTTGAGTTCAAGCAGACCTGCAGCCGCACAGTTGCAGCTAGAATCGGCTGGCCTGCACGAACACCAGCACCAGGATCAGTACTTGGGGTGAACTTGCCCGCACTGCAGCCCTTCTCAAAAAAGTGAACCTCCCTGTCATAGGGGTTACTAGGTGAAACTCGTGCTTCGGAAGCTCTCAGGCGAGAGTTTCCTCAAGTTCCTCGAAAGTGGGGTCATGGCCATTCAGGCCTGCTCCCCAACCGACCCGAGCAGGCATCGTTGATCGTTGGACCCTTGGCAGGTTCGGGCTTACGAGAAGGGTGTTGCAGCTGGTGAGCTGGAACTTGTGGCCTGTCGGCAAATCTATGGCAGACTTGAAGTGATGCCCACATTTTCTGCCAAGGTGAAGCAGAAGCTCAAAGCCACCGAGGAGCGAAGTGGTCAACTTTTGCGGCATTGGGTAGTGTTAGCACTTTTCGTGTCTTCGCCCTCTGCAAATGTACGCATGCGGCACGTGTTCCGCGCAGGACGAGCTGAAGCGAGTAAGGGATGCCATGGCAGAGGCCAGCACTCGCTGTGGTGCTGTAGCTGACTTGGGGAGCATGAGATACCGCAGTGGCCATGTTGAAGGAACGGGCAGTCTTTGAAGAAGAGATCGAGGCTGGGAGCAGCCACTCGCATGGTCGGGGCCATGCACAAGTGATGCCAGGTGAAAGTTGCTGCTGCTATAGCTGAGGACACGTGTCTGGTGAAACGTAGTAAGTAGACTCTGAGTCTGTGAGTACTCGCATGCCGCTCTCGGTGGGGACGTGCTGGTCTTGCAGATGCCATGTTGTGCGGTTGAGCGCTGTAGGAGCGAGCGAAATGTGAGGCCGAAGCGGAGGAGTGCCAGCTGTCAGTAGAAAGCACAGATTCGAGGTGAAAATCTAGCAGTCGTTGTTTCTTCGTGATCAGAGGGTGGCCAATTGGTGGTACTGCAGGAGAAACTGGCGCAGGTGAGGGCCGTTGCAAAGGAGGAAGTGACTGTGAGAGCGGTCCGAAGTAGTCATGAGCACTGCTTTCGTCAATGCTCCAAGCTGCGAACACTCGCAGGAAGCGGCTCGAGAACGTGAGGAGCCAGCCAAGGATTGGGCTTCGAATGCTTCGAGCAACTTGAAAACACTGCATGGTTGGCACTGACGGCCCCAGCAAACTGCAGGCTGCGAGGCTCAAACAAGCCCCCCATCAGCCTAGGCAAAAGTATGAAGCATCTGAAGTCCTCAGAAGGGAGTTGCAAGCCTAGGTCTGAGCAGCTCTTTCACACGGCACTCAATTCAGCCTCGCTGTAACCTGTCTTATTGTCTCGGTAGAAGTTCATGAGCGTCGGAGCCTCATGGAGCTAAAGGCGGTGCTGCTGTCAGTGTGGAGCCTCCCGGAGTCCGAGCAGCGGCAACTGTTGCTTGAGCTCCTCGAGAAGTTCTCCCTCAATGCATCCTTAGAGGCTTGGTGCGATCAAGATCACGTGCCGGATTTCTCTGCCCCTCGACCACGCTTGAAGTCCAACTGCGCTGGCGTTTGCCTTCGAGGGCGGGGCGCTGACTCGGTGCTTGGGTGCCCTTGGTGCCGCCGACCCCTTGCGATTTCAGTCGAGATACCCCAGCCTCTCCCCTGCACAGACACAGCCACCACGAGACATGCATATGCAACGCTTTTGTATGGTGCAGAATGCCACAAGTACTTCTTGGGCGCTTTGGTCGTGGCTGAAGGTCTCCGCAAGTTTGCCGTCGAAAGTCGTGCAGGACAGATATTGCCTCTCTTGCTTCTGCATACATATGATGTCCCGGACGCATACATTGAAGCATTGACAAGAGCCGGATGGAAGTGCAAGGAAGTGGGTTACATATACAAAGGGGTGGCGAAGGCTTTGTTCAAGAAGTACTGGAACAGCCGCTTCCTGGGTGTTTTTACGAAGCTGCGTGCTCTTGAGCAGCACGAATACGAGAAGGTTCTCTTCCTGGACTTGGACATACTTGTCCGTGGCGACCTTGCGGAGGTTTTCAAATTGCGAGCACCAGCTGCAATGAAGCGAGGGGAACCTGTGATGGAACATGGGGAGTTCGTTCCCTATGCGACTCTGTGGGGTCATCTTACAAGAAGAGAAACAGATGGACTTCCCCAACATCAGCAAGCGTCTGGCATTAATGTCTGGGCCTCAGCCTCACAAATCTTCAGATGACAATGCTGCATTGCTACAGAATGTCGTGTCTTGCTAGCGACGCGAGCCTGTTTCGGGACGCAACCGCTCTAACTGAGGCCGGGGTCATGCTGCTCAAGCCTGATCAGGTGGTTTTCGATGCCATGAGCTCTGAAATATTTGACTATGAACATCCCGAGCATTACGAGACTTACATGCCAGAGCAGGAATACCTTTCACGCTTCTATGGAACGTTTGACAAGTGGACGCACATCTCGTGTCAGTACAATTTCGAGATTGATAAGAACGAGCGGATTCCGCACGACTTTTCGGTGGCCCATGAGAACATCCGGAATGGAGCTGGCCATAAGGGTGCGGTCGTTCTGCACTACTCGGGCGCCTCATCTCCACAACACTGTAGACTGTAGACTCTTCCCAGATTTCATTCATTGATGCTTGTCGGGCGGTAGGGCACTGCCACATGAACCATGTACGTTAAAGAGCTGCCCAGGTACCTCTATCAAACCCTGGGATCTCCTCTATAGCGAGGACAAGCTACGTGTGGACTCATGCGAGGACCCAGCTCAGTTGCTTTGTGCCAGATTTTGGTTTCAGCTTTCTTGAGCGCTTCTGAAGGCAGTGCTGGCGAAAAGCCTGAGTGACCTTAGTGCAGCAAATACATCTTCCAGATCTCGTGTGTGATCCTGCCTGTCCAGCATGGCTTTCGCTGGAAGCGACAGTGATGGGTATTGCAGCAAGTTATCGCTGACGTGTAGTATCAGGAAGCTGTGTTTAGACTCCATTTCGATCGCGAGTAGCTAGTGTGTCAGGATGTCACACGCCTGCATCAGCAGCTCCGATTGGAAGGGCCTGGCGATCGATTGAATGGGTACAAAGATGGGGATCGCTTGTGGAATGCCATGTTGGAATGGCTGGAGCAATTCGAAGCCTTGGTGAGGCGCCTGGCTTCGGATGGTGTGGACATTGTAGATATCGTAAAAGTCCAGGTGGGAGTTTCGGAAAAGAGGGGACCCCAATGTAGACGACAAGTGATTGGATGCTTGTTGGGGCCACGAAGAGAAACCCCCAGGTTGAGAAGGCGGAGGAGGCTCAAGCACGGAAGCGAGCCGCTGAACAGGGCGAAAGTGGACAGTGGCAGAACGGATACGGGAACTGGGCCGATCGGTGGCAAGCTCCTGTGAATCATGATGATGCTTCTGCAGGACGCGGGTGTTCTTCTTCCATCCTTCTCAAAACTAGCAGCATGATGAGATAGTTTGCACTGTGACCAGAGGAGAATGCTTCTGCGCATGATCTGCAAAGATGCCTTGCAGGAGATGTCGAGGTTTCTCGGGCAGTGGCAGCTGCAGAGAAGAAACGGAAGAAAAAGAGCGTGGCCTCAAAGCAGTTGAAGCCTGCAATAGCTGGGGGGAAGGGGGGGGGGGCGACAACCGTGGCCTGTTGCCTCACGGTCGGAGCCAAGCCAGTGGAGAGCCGTGCTTCGTCAATTGACCTTGTGCAGGAGAGTCAGCCACCCCCACCACCAGCACCAGCAGAAGAGGCGCCTGCCCAGCAGCCGCCAGCACCGGCTCAGCCGCAACCACCTTCACAGCAGTTGCCGCACCCTCCGCCACAGCAGCTGCCGCAGCCGCCTGCACAGCGGCTGACTCCGAGTCCCAAGGAGGCAGCGGGCTTATCAACCTGACAAACTAGATAGCAACTGGGATGGGTCAACATGCGCTGCAAGTGGCTCACCAGCAGGTCAAGTCAGATGAGCCTTGGATGGACGTTCGCGGCGGATCCCTGGACGAGGTGCAGTGTGCAGTAAGAAAGGAGATCAATAAGGCTTGAAAGACCGGCAGACTTCTGCACTTTCTATAGCCAGTATGGCGATGCAGTCCTCGGCAATGCTGTGCGCGCCTGCCAATGTTTTCAGAACCCACGACAAGCCCTTTCTGGCGCAGTGGGATTTCATAGCCACAAGACACTCTTACGCAGCATGCGCAGCCTTGCCGAGGGGACGCGAACGCAAGAAGCATTGCCTGCGAGCTCATAGCAGAGGTGCCTGATCCTCGTCTCCCGCTCAGGTGAAGGCCGAGCTTGTCAAAGCACGCGGGCAGGTTTTCAAGATTATGCAAGACAAGGACGTGCCATGATTCGGATAGGTCGTGACGGCGTGGGCATGCCTGCTCAGAAATCTATGCTGATGCCGGCGATGATTGTGCAGGAGCAGCTGCAGCACAAACTGAACCGAATGGAGGGCCGGCACGTGCCTTGGCAGCAGTTTGCGAGCCGACAATCTTCTTCACCAAAGGAGTGGTTCTCCCGCCGGTTGCAGAGCATTGTTGTAAAGTAGAAGCCAGAAAGTTGGAACCTCGTCCTCATACCCTTTTAAGGTCCAGAAGAAGGAACCCTAGCACTGGTCATCCTTATGCATGTTCCAGCTTTTGCTGTAGTGTTGAATTGAGATGGTGGGCATGACATTCGTTTCGTCACGTCGCGGCAATCTTCCACATATCGAAGTGGTTGCAGGCAAACCTTCCTGGTCACATCGACGAGGTTGACCACGGGGAGGCTTGGCTTCGTCAGACTCTCGCAGGATTGGAAAAGTCGAAGCCTGTTGAAACTAGCAATAGCTGATGTCACTCGTTGCCGGACAAGGAAGCATGAGTGACTGATGGCGAGCTGTCTTGCAGGTGAAGCACGTGGACTTGGAGCAGGACGCCTGTGTCTGCGAAGCATGACTGGAGCTGCTAGAAGAATCGCGCATGCCACATAGGCCCAGTCCGCATGTCGGCCTGGAACAGGCGCACCAGCACATCCTGTACTTGGAGATGAAGGTAAAGGCAGGGGCAGAGCTGGAAAAGAAGAACGAGGACCTTAGAAGCCTTAGAAGCTTTGCCTGAGCGTAGAGTGAAGATCGGCCTAATGCAGCCGAAGGTGATTTTGCAAGAGTCTTGTTTTAGCGACCCAGGTAACTCGTGCTCTACATGCGTTTTGTGTTGAGATTTTCTGAATGTGCTGTGCCGCTTGAACATGGGAAAGCATCCCTGCACGTGCTCGATGTAGGGCCTTGAACGCAGCGTGTCTTAATCGGAATGCTCGAGCACGAGGACCTGTAAATCTATGAACTCCTCAACTGGCAGGAGCTGGAAGGAAAGCTCAGAGACGTTCAGTTGCTGGCAGACCAGCGGAACCAGCAGCCGAGCCTTAATCTCGACCTTAGACCGCCGGCAAGTCCGCTCAGTCTCAAGTGCATTCGCTACTGCTGCTTTTCTGACTGAGTGTTTGTAGGTAGATGCGCAGACTTTGACGGGCCGAGGAAGCCTGCGGCTTGCGAGGTGATGTGAGTGCGGAGCTGTGGGCCACGTTGGTGGTTGTAAAGTCACTTTGCCATGTACTCCTCAGCGACGAACCAGTAGAGGATTTTGCGCTGAAACTTTTTATGACCACCGTTGTGCCCAGCAGCAAAATAGTACGCCTAGTTTTACTGACGCTGTTGACGGGACTTCCCAGACGGGACACACTCGCGGTCACTACGAATCATCTTTGGCGGTTTGATTGCCCAGGGCTTAACACAGGCTTTGGGCATTGCCAGTCGCGGCACTTTAGTAATTTAGGCCTCGACTGCCGCAGTGAACCCTCACTCGACGAGGCATGCTCGCCGATGGTACCTTCCAGTTGTGACTGCAAATACATGGCAAGATAAACGGACTCCTGGAACTATGCTAGTTGTGCCTTCACATAGGAAATCCTGTGCAGAGAGTCACAACATGATCGGAAAGGGCGCTTGTAGAAGCACTTCGGCGAAATAAGTTGAAGCAATTGTGAGTGGTTTTGAAAGCTGTTTGGATCGCCGTCTTCTGCAGTAGGTCCTGCTTGCAGAAACAGTTGGATTTTCCTGTGCGATTTCAGTTGCAAGGTCTGCATCAGATGCTCTTCGTCCAGACCTTGGTGGGCCGCAACGGGCGCATGATGAGCAAATCGGAGATACACAGCAAGCTAGCTTGCATGGTGCCATCTCAATCTGGATGCAACCCCGGTTTCTGATCGTTGCGGGTGGAGCTAGGACCTCTAGGATCCCGCGATTCCAACACCTTGGCGACAGGGCAAAGTTTCGCTTGGCCCTTCCTGCAGCTCCTCACCCGAAGGACCTGCACTGCTACAGCTCCAACATGTGGCTATTTCCGTGAACCCGAGACACCAAACTGGAAAAAGTTCGATAGAGGACGCCCATGCTGATCGGAGAACAGATCATCGGCAGCAGCCTCGCCTCACCTCGAAGAACCTTTGGGATTGGGTCGTGGTGGTCGATCGAAGAAGATGTCGGTTGCGGAGTTGTAACCGCGACTTTTGAGAATGCGGCTTGCTGTGTTGGAAGGCTCTTCAGGCAGCGAAGGTCATCACTTCCTTGCCGTGGGATTTAGCAGTTCTACCTCAAGCCTGTATATGCATTCTTGCGACTCTCGCAAGGCCAGCCGGCCGAAAGATGCTTCCGACATGCGTCGATGCCTTTATACTGCAATGCATCGGGGCGTCTTGCATCAGATGCCAGACGGGCACATGTCGTAGATCCTTCTTGGCGGTGGTGTAGTCTTCGCCGGACTTGGTCGAACATCTGAAGGTATTGGGGCTACAAGGGCGTGACGCTGTTTGGTGGATGCCCGAGAGGTCCTGTTAGAGTTCAGCAAACGTCCTTTTCACGTCCGAGATGTGCAACGGGTGCGCAAGCGCAGCCTGTCTGTCGCAGAAGTATACTTCGACACTAAGGAAGGGACAAAGGTGGCTTGAGCCAAGTTCCTAGTGTGCCCAGCACAAGCGCGCAGCGGAACCTCACTGAAGCTCCCTGGTCGGAGCACTGCAAGGCACATCATCCTCTCGACCTGCAGTGGATCGTGTGCGTTTGCCTCAGCTCCCTCGCAAGTGGATAGTGGCCCCAAAGCGCAGCTCTGGAAGCCTTTCCAGATCTGCGAGTTTGAGATTTGAAATCGGAGTGGCATCCACAGATACGAGAGCGAGTCGCACCTCTGTAATTGGAGACGTCGACGGCACAGCCAGCCTGCAAGATCCAGCAAGTCGTGAGTGCCGGTGTTTCGGCAAGGGCTGCTGGCTTCTCTACGATGGGCGTGTCGATCTCATGGAGCCCGACTTCCAGGCTTGGAGGGCCAAGGGTCAAGCCTACGCCCCACTGTGGGATAAACTTGTATCCGAGTTTTTTCCATTGCTCTGAAATCAGCTCAGTTCTGCATGGCGTCAACATTCATCGGCAGCTCCGCCATGTGCCAGGACGAGTCAAGATCACGCAGCTTGGTCCAAAAGGAAGTGGTTATGGAGTTGTTTGTCAGCACTGGCTGTATATTAGAGCCTTGGTTCTGCAAAGTTGGCAGCCAAGTCCGTGCAGGGACTAGGAAGGTCTGCTCCAGCATTTCTTCCTGCACGTACGATGGGACAAGAGAAGTCATGCAGAACGTGGCTTTTGCCATTCGGCTCGGGCAGAGGCAAGAAACTGGCGCATGCTGCTCATCGAGCGACGGCCGCCTGCACGGGCCCTCAGAGAGGCTAAGTAATATCTTTATATATCAAAATACATATCGCATACAGTCAGTATATACATATACATATATATATATACACACACAGTGTTATTGTCATTTAGTCTTCTTTCCCCGCCTTTAGGGTGAACCCAATTTCCGGAAGCCTCTCTCGCTTGCTCTGTCAAGAACTCCACGTGCTGCTCCGACTGTCAGAGTTGGATGAACTTAGCCGCCAGAACGAAGACGGGACCCCTGATCAGTGCACAAGATTGCAATTATCAATGGAACCCAGCTGTCGCACAAAGATGGACGAGGGCTTATGACTTGAAAGTGGTGGACGCAATGCTGGCACAGCTTCGTAAAATAATGTGGCTTATGTCTCATTGGAAGCCAGTTGTGGCCCAAGCCGCCAATCAAGACGTGCAATGTGCTCTGGCAGATGTGCACGAATCAAAAGACACCAGATTCAATGAGTCTAGCATTGTTGCACATCCTTCCGAGAAAAAGGAAGTTCTGTACTCCTTGGAAGATGGTTTCCATTTGTTATTGGTGGAAGTCTTGTGGATGGTTGCTCCGCTTGCCAGGGTAGAATACTGCGATCAAGCCAAAGTTGGCGAAGCGAAAAGGCCGAAACCTGCATAGTTGCTCCATGAGGTTTGACGAAGGCACCCAACACAGGCCTGTACAAATCATCCACCGAAGCAAAAGCGCACAACTGTTTCGTGCGTGGGACAGCGCAGGATCTGGTGCCAAGGCCTGTGCAACAAGATGGGAGAAGAAAAAGCGTGAATGATGCGCAGCCATCAAGTAGCACACCCAGGATACAAAGTCCAGTCCATTTGCGGAATGCCTACCAAGCATGCCGAATGGATTTGAAGCCACAATTCTCGATAATGTCGAAACATGAACGAACGGAACTCATGAATCACAGAGGTCTCCCCAACCATGGAACGAAGCGACTTTGAATGAGATGAACCAAGGTGGCCGTGAACAGAAAGTGGGCCAAGAAGTTCGCGTGCTTGATCGTGTTTGCACTTGCATCACCTAAGGCACGACGTGCGCTTGTTAACAGCAATCAAGTCATCAGTTTGCTCTGGCCTGAGTCTCACTCGTTGGCAGGTGCACGAAGAACCTGTGTTTCGCGAGGAACTTCCATTACAGGTTTTATTATTCATACTTTCAGTGTAATTCCCAGAAGACTAGCATCATGATGATTACTATTATCAGAGCTGTTGTGTGGGGCTCGAAATTTAGTAGCAGACGAAGTCAAGGCTTCGCTCGGGCCTTCTTCGCCGCCGCCGGGATCTCAACCTTCAATGATTCAATGACATGAAGGCACCTATCTTGGCTCACAAATCTCAGGCGCAACAGCTTTTTGGGCAGACTTCGCACATGAGGCTTGGATGGATTTTGCGTGTTGAATGCATCGAAAGGAAGCCAGCCCCCTGCGCTTGTTGTCTCACACTGCACCTGCAGGATCTGAAGTCAGCCTCCAAGTCTTTCTCCAAATGTGATGTGCGCACGTTCAATGACTGATGGATAGGTTCATGCCGAGGTCTGATGTACGAGGCCAATGGCAGCTGGCGTCTTCTGCGAACATCCTTATAGGCAGCAAGAGCTTTGCTTTCCATGCTGTCGAGTCTTGTTGGAGCCAAGATGAGACAGGCATAGCGAGGTGCGGCATCATTTTGCCGGAATTAACTTTGTCGCTACACACTCGAATCCTCGAAGATCCTGCTCCAGTTGGCAGGCGCCCACGGAGCTGGCCTCGCTTGGGGTGCTTTCATGCCGGTCTAAGCCACAGTCGCAGATGCGATTCTTCTTTGCCTTCTCAGAGCATTCGTGCAGCTTGCTGGCAGGGCCACTACTTAGAAGATCCGGCATGGTGGAGTTGTTTTTCGTTTGGCCTGTGGTTGGCTCGACCTTGTGACAGGCAGTAGTTTCACCTAGCTAGTAGGATCCAGCAGAGGCGCGACGGCGTTTGCTAAGCAGCCTACGCAGTTCACGTCTAGGGCCGTTTTGTTCCCGAGTAGAACCCAGATCTTGCAACTTGTGTTTGCAGACGCGTTTCAAACAGCAGGAAAAGTTGCTCGACAATCACAAAGAAGTCTCGACAGCCCTTTGAGAAGCCGCCATGGATGATTCAGACGATGGCGAGGTTGATCCCAGCACGCCTCCACCTCCGCCCCCTCCTCCACCTGAGGAGCGTGAGCGCCGCCCATCCAACGGCAAGGGAACAAAGAGCCGCGAAGTTGCACCGGGTCCGGTAATCTTGCTGCCCATCGCAGCCATAGCAATGACAACAGCTACCAAAAGAAAATGATTTCTGAGCAAGGTGAACGCCTTGAGAGGCAAGCCGCAGAGAAGCCATCCGCTGAGTCAACACGGCTCTGGTTCCTCCTCCAGGCGGCTTCTAATCGATGATGCAATTTTGGCGTAATTTTGTCAAAGGGGCCTGGACGCGGGGTGTTGCCAGTAGGAGTGCTTGTACTCAGCTGAAGACAATTTGTGGAACGCACAGAAACCCGAATGCAGCAGGAGAAGAAGAGCAAAGCAGTGGCTGATTGGCTCAGTCACGCAGATGGACAGAAAGAAGCCCGGGGCCAAGAGCTTTGGACCCAGGCCCTAGACATGAAAGGGCGGGCAGTTTTTCCCCACATCGACGGCTCAGGTGAACATAAAGGATAGAGCCTTTGGTTGGACCCCTGTGCACTTTGCAGCGCATCTTGGTTCCAGTCACTTGGTGAAGCTGCTGGTGGACGGAAAAGCACATCTCGACACCTCGTGCAGCGAAGGCCTGGGGCTTTCTTATTCTCCACAGACTTGAAAGTAACACTGTCGTCCTTTTTCAAAAAAGACTTCGGACTGGCCCGGCTTGATCGCCGCAGCACAGCTTAGGCAACACGCCACTTATGTGTGCTGCTCGACAGAATAATACCAGCGCCGCGAATTACTTGATTGCCAAAAAGGCACATCTGAATTCTGCTGCTTGGCAGCAGATGGCAGGGTCAGTGTTTGCTGGGGCCCGTGCACACAAGCTCTCCCGACGTGCAGTTGAGTTTGGTGCAGGTAAATAACAATGGCTGGACAGCACTGATCTGGTGTGCCATAAATGGTTGTGAAGATGTCGCGACGGCATTGCTGACATCCAGTGCAAACTATCTCAAATCCGAGCCCTGTCACTTCTCAGTAGGGCATTTGGCATGTCTGCGCCAAGCTTGCAGTGTTTTAGTTGCTATGGGAAAATCTAGCATCATGGGAGTCGGAAGGCTTTGAGGCTTCACAGTCGCCAGGGGAAGGCTGCTCTCGTGGGGGGGAGGGGGCAACTCAAAGCCAAGTCAACCAAGGATAACGAGGGGCGAACTGCTTGCATGTGGGCAGCCCGCCACGGGCACCTATCCATGGTGGAGACTCTTCTGGCCAATGGTCTGAACCTGCTGCAAGCAGACGAAGCTGGCCTGACGGTGTACGACCACGCGCAGGAGCAGCTGGAAATGCGAAGCATGATTGCAGCCGTTCAGGAGGTGAACGAGGAGCTCCAAGCTGCGGCCAGGAATAATGACTATGATGGTGTGAAGCGAGCGATAGAAGAAGGTGCAAATCTCAACGTAGAGGATGAGGACGGTTGGACCCCTTTGATGTGGGCGGCGCTGCATCAATCCCTGGATATGGTTCAACTGGTCATCCGGCATGGAGCCAATCCAAATCTCATTGATGAGCGAGGGGAGGTTCTTCAAATGCTCAGCACCGACCACTTAGCAGTGGGCGACTCTGTCGTGGAAATAGTTGGGAGCAACGAGCGGTTGCTCGAGCACGCAAAGGCCGGAAGACCTGCCAAGCTGCTAAGGCTGGTGCTAGATTTGTAAACTTCACACAGCTCGGCAAAGCTACAGTAGGTTGCTGAAGCCGAGTGCAGTCGTACTTCTCGCCATCCAAGTGGTTTGAAGTTGAAGGGCTTCGGTACTGATCAAGCCGAGAGTAGAGACGGAGAGGCCACAGTTGTCACGATTTCGTCCGGCAAGGCCGGGCGCTGGCAAGAGATCGACGCCGAGCTTGCCATCGGAGCTTGGGCCGCCTGTCTTGCACAACTTGTAACAAGAATCGGAGCAACCGGCCGGGTGATCCAGTGCTCTAGCATGCCTGTTTTGCTGAATGCTGCTGCAGTCATGGGACAAGGAGCTAGGACCTAAACGAAAGACTTTTTGGCCCAATTCCTGACCAACCGAGGGAGCCCGAACACTTTCAGTTTTACAGTTCTGTCTCCGTGTTCGACACACTGTCTCTGGATTCGGCCAAGGGGCTCTAAGAGTTGAGGTTTCGAAGAGGGATAGAAGATGTGACCGCATGCCAGCCTCGATAGAAAAGCCGGTTTGACTGCAGGTTAATGTCCGCGAAGAGGCACGGCGTACTGCACTCCTGTGGGCCGCGCGGCATGGTGCCTGCGAGGCGGTAACGACGCTTACTGGAGATTTGAAGTCTGAAGGCACACAGACAAAGGCCACGAGATTTACAACAATGCAGCAATGAGATTTCGGCATTCTGAAGACAGCGACGTGCCTTACGCACTTCATCCGAGTAGGTGACCAAGCGCGGTCGTGCGGTGATGTGATTGGTTCTTTAGCCTAGGGCCGAAGCACGGGGCCTTATGTGATGTAACTCCTAAGCCACAACGACAGAGCATGTCATTGTTCGTGTCCTTGTGGCAACTGGCTGCAACACAAGATGATCACTGCAATCACGAAAAACCGATGGGTGGTGACGTCCTTTGGCCACTTTGCTTTTGCCCACTCTTCCATTTTCAGGAATCTGGTCAACAAGAATGCCGATTTGGATGCCCGTGACGAGTGTCCTGGCATGGACTAGGTATGTCTAGGGATGATCACAACACCTGTTTTTGATTTTGTCAGTTTCGCCATGTCAGTCTAGAAAAGGACTACTGTCACGTCTGCTGGTCCCTCTCAGTTTTTATTTGGCCTCCAAGTGGGTTCCGTGTTTCATGAGGAGTGGGTGGCTTCCTGTGCATTGGGCAGCCCAGTCTGGAAACGTACAGACCCTGTGCAACTTGCACTACCTCGGCAGTGACTTCACCTCACGCACATATGTGGGTGAGACTGCACTGCACATCGCGGCGCAATATAACGACGGAGCGATGATTCAGGCGCTTCTTGCGTCCAATGCAGATATCGAGGAGTTGGATGTGGACATGAGAACAGCACTGCACGTGGCTGCCGCAAATGGGCAGACAATCGCTTTGCAGACACTTTTGTTTTACAAGGCAGATCCTGACAAGGTCGTAGAAGACGACTCTGGCGCAACAGCGTTCCTTCTGGCTGTGACTAACCATCGCGAAGCGGTTGTCCAAGCGATGCCTCTTTGAGGACGTTTCGGCAATCAGATGATTGTGACAATTCGTGTAGTAGGATCTTCTACCGACCAGTGCCCACCTCCTGTTGTGCTTTGACGTTGTTCGACTGGTTCGAATGATAGTTGCCAGACAGTGAGTTTTTGATGCCTTTCAATCTCTTCTGGAGACTTTTGGTCTCTCATTCCCAGGCTGGCAGACATTCCAGCTCCCCCGAAGCTGCCGCATTTTCACGTGACCAGCCCCTTAGCAGCACGGAGGAGCCTGGCAGTTGGCTTATTGACCTGTCGCGTGACTTATTCGGGCAGGCCCTGCTTCGCCGGAAAAGGCCAAGAAGACAAAGAACCTTCAGCCAGAACGCGATGCAACAAAGGGTGCTGCCTCAGCGAGAGGAGGCCAGGGTGCACGTGGCAATGTCAAGTCCTCCTCATCGGCAAAGGCGGCAGCTTGTCTGAACTCTCATGGGTTCCGCTGGAGTAGGTAGGTTTCTGGACGACCGCACCAGCCGCACAGTCCTCGGGTCCTGCTGAGGTGGCTACCCCAACCCCGAAGAACAAGGTCGGGAGCCGGAAGAAACTGGTCAAGGACCGGTGAAGGATTTCGGCACGCCAACCAAGTAAGCGGACTTGCACACCGGTCAGCCAAACCATGACCCTGTGCTTGGATGTGCTTGGTGTCAGCAGTCAAGTGGACTGCTTGCGAGGACTTGCGGGAGAAGCGCGGCGAGCATCCCTGCGCTTTGTTGGAGACGGCGACTGAGATTCGCTCTAAACTGGTTAAGTGTCTCGGCTTGTGCTTACTGTGTGCGATGTCATCTGTGAAAGCCACATGATTTTCCAACTCTGATCCTGATTGGCATCTAAGGAACAACTTTCCTAGCATTGCGAGGAAGGTCCTCAAGCAAACGGACTGCGAAGAAAGAAGTGCTCTGGCACTTGCAGTTCTCAACCGCAGCTCCAACATCATCCAAATTCTCATTGGTGCCAAGGCAGACCTCGAAACAGTCGATGCTCAAAACAACGGTATTTTGCACTATGCTGCTATGAACAGGGATCGCGAAGTGGTGGCCCTACTCATGGAGCTGAATGCCCGCATCGACCGAGAAAACAATGATGGTATGAAACCTTCAGATCTGTGTGAAGATGCAGATATCCTGCACATGATCGCCCGGAAGTTGGTAAGCAAGAAGCTTGCAAGCCTGCCTCCCGCACCGCCGGCAACCCATCCGGCATTGGACGGTGGAAATCTGCTGCAGGAGTCTGCTCGAAAGCATCGGATCCGTTTCGAGGGATTGCAGGTCTCCCTTTCTCAGGAGAACATAACTGAGCAGTTGAAGCTCTTTATCAAACAGCGGGGTGCACCAAAGGCCAGCCGAATTGAAGTTGCACTTGACCCGATTACGGCACGTCCTAAAGGTCATGCATACGCAGACTTCAGCGACATGTCGTCGGCCGATCTAGTCTTGCAGGGAGATGGTAAGCCCATTAATGGGCAACCGATTCGAGTTTTCTTTGAGATCCCGCTCCATCTGAGCCATCGCACTGATCGCTGAGCGTCCAAAAAGCAGCATGTCCACATCAAGAGCTTTGGAGATGTCTGGCAGACGGATCGTCAGTTCCAGCCCCCGGCTTCAAGCCAAAAGGTTGGAAGTGTCATCATTGTTGGAGCCCCGGAGAGATGCCAACAAAGCAGCTGAACAGTGAATTGTAACATCTGCTTAGGAGCTGATGCCTCACATGCAGATCCTGCACCAGCAGCTTTGCCGTGTTCAACCGGGTGCTCTCCTCGGCATTGGCCAGCGTCAGGAGTGGAGCGTTGCAGCTCAGCTCCACTCACTTGTCTAAATGTGAGCTATCCTATTTCCTGGAAATCTTGACATGCTCCGGGTTTCAAACTCTTCAAGTCTTCTGCACTTCACATCTCGAGCTTGAACAGCGCATGGCAACAAGCAAGCCATGAGGTGAAACGATGGCGTGGGATGCAACTCCAATGTATGCGCACGGGGCCGAGCTGCATGCTTGCACCGAGCTGAATGGATGCGAAGGGCTACCTGGAAACAGGAATACGCAGTGTTGAAGCTCACTGTTGCATCGTGCTCGCCCTGAAGATCTCTGTCAGGTATGGGGGCCTGTCAACATTATTCGGGTACGCAGCCTACACTTGAGTACTTACTGGTACAAAAAGCTTGTTGCTCGTGATGCCCACAACTGAGCCTTTGCACACTGATAAGGTTGCACCATGCTTGCCTCATAGGCATGGCACTTAAGTTTCGGCCGTGTCAGCTGAACTGGTATTGCCTCACTGCCGCGGCTGTTGTTGCTTTGGCCCATCCCGACTCAACCCACGTATGCCACGTCTCCCGTATGTCTGTCAAGCCGTGCCGCCATCGCAAGCAGAGGGCAGCGCTTCGCAAAAGATTTTGGCCCACTCGAGTCGACGAGCAGGTGGCGCTGGCTTCACTTGACGAAAGTCGATAGTCGGCTTCTTTAGAGACGTACTCCAGCTCCAGAATTTCCAGAAGTCTTTATCGCCCTTCAGCTCCAGCCATCCCTTGTGTCAGTCGCTTCCGTGGCATCACAGAGTCCTCGCCAGAATCAAGCCTTCATTCCTCTACCGGACGCCGCCGTGGTAATGATGGGTAGAGTAGGGCTTTCATGAGGAAGTAAGGGGAGGGGTTGGAAACCCTTTACCCCCCGAAGGTTCCTTATGCGCATGAACCTGCCGGCCTTCTCAGGGCAACTTCTGATTAGTGTCAGGCTTGTGAAACGTGCAGAGTCACGGGGTCCATGTTGGAGCAGGACATAGACTTCAAGCCTTGGGGGTGTTGACTGCGGTCTGGAGCCGCACCCCTCATTCCGGAAATTTTGAAACATGGTGCGTGAGACTCCGAATTTGTATGTGTCTTACAAACTGCAAGTGCCAAAAAAAGAGCTGCTGCAGGTCCGCAAGACATGCCCAGACATGTACTCGAAGTATTTTGAAGTCTCTATTCGCACGACATTTCACTTTCAGGACTGCCAACTTCTCCAGAAGCTGCCAGGCGGCTTCCTTGAGAGCTGATGTCCTGAACAGCCCTGGGCCCAAAGGGGAAAATCAAATTTGGGGTGGGTGGTATGATCTCCTGTTCTTTGCAAGCTGCCCTAGCCCACTGTTGTCTCGGACATGTTGTGAAGCCTTGCCTGCCTTCTGCGAGTGACAAAGGTAGCAAAAAGCCCTAAACCCTAATCACTTCCCTTTCCTGGGGCTTCCTGCCTCTCCCTACAGTAGTCTTTATGTTAAGATGATCGCATGGGTTTGTTTGATTCGTATGTCCTCGACGCCACGCTGACGTGATTGTGGAAGCGCCTCGTTGTTTGAGGTTTCGGAACTAGGTAGCCGGCAGAAGGGACTTTGGATGACAGATGATGTATACGACCCGTTAGCTTTTTTTTGCACGGGGTAGGTTGGTTCTCTCTCTCTCTCTCTCTCCCTCAGCCATTCTCAAGTCTTGCAGTTTCACCGGCAACAGACTCGTCATCACATGCCTCGCCAGGATTGTCCCGAAACACAAGCCTTCTCTGATGTGCAGAGCCTTGCGTTGATTCTCGAAAGACTGAGACTGAGAGAGGGCCCGGAAGGGTGCGGTCATCGAGTGCAGGTCCTCCTTGGGCTCGGAGCTGGG